AGATAATGATTTTTGGCGCCCAAGACAGCCTGTAAACTTTGTCACTCCTCCTGATGGGTTGTTGCCCAAATCCTGGTCCTCTTCCCTGGAACTAGATGTAGGATGCATCACTCAGGTGGGTGTGTAGACTTTCCATTTCGGGGCAGATACCCAAGCAGGTAGGATGCCAGAAGCCGCAAAGTACAGCCTGCCTTCCGCAAGCGATCGCCCCTCAGCAGGCTGCTGCTCGCAGATGTCTCAAATAGGGTCCCCGTACGTACGAAAAAAACTACCATTGAAACACGTCCATGTGCTGCTAGATCAGTGTAGGCATGTGTGTCGCCCCACCTACACCTACTTCAAGTATTTGGAGTATTCAGGCATTTCGTCAAGCACTTTCATCTTGAAGCAGCCACTAAAAGGTGCAGTACAATATTTGTGGCGCATGCCTATGAGATTGGTTACGAGCTCGGGCAAAACGCGGACAACTTACTTTGGTAAGACTCTGTCCACTACGGGTCCAAAGATTTCCATGTAAAGGTCGTTGCAAGGCAAGGGCCCCGAAGCCTACTATATGGTAGTTTCCCAAAATTAGGGGTACCATTTTAGGGGCCCACATAATAAGGACTATAGTATTTTGGGGGTCTATATTGGGATTACCTTATTTTGGGAAATTGCCATATTCCTGTTCAAAACTAGTTGAAAGCTCCCTGTCAACCCAAAGTTGTGTTGAACAATGTCCCTGCCTAGGATTTGACTACAGTGACCCTGGCTTGCCTTAAGCCTGACAGCTCTGACAGCTCCAGTAGCTAGGCTCGTGGCATCAGATCTCTTGAGGAGAACAGGTTGCTACCTTTTGCGTCGAAATCACGACTGTCCTTCGCAAAGCATTCAACCATCAAGCTCACAAACAACGACTTGCATCCTGCATAATTTGTTTACAGGAGTTGACACGACAGGACCAGATCTACACAAGCTTATGGCAGCATTGACCTTTACTTGCAGAAGGTTCCATCAGCCGCCCGTGCAAGAGACGATGCGGAAGCCAAGCACGACGAATCAATTGCTTGGAAAAGGGCAGGCATTCCGAGCGAGGAATTCAGAGACCTTTCAGCCAACCGCGGTAAAGAACTACAACTTTGGAGACAAAACCTAAACTCCCTGCTCTCCTGGAAGCCACAAACTTCGACCCTGAACCTCGTGGCAGCAATCACACAAACAGCCCCAACAGCTCAAATAACGTTCTGGGAACAACCATGATGGGAATGACCAAAACAGTCGCAGCAGGCACCATAACCAAAAAGCAGCCGGAAGCCTGATGACAGTTGCAAGCCAGTCCTGGGTCTTGGCGGGTGCATTCCGCCACTCCGCAGACACCTGCCGGACAGCATTATGAAAGACCTCCAAGCTCCACGCTCACTGATAGTATATTATAGGGTTTTATAGTATAATGTATTATAGTACATGATAATATACTATAGTATATTCTAGTATGCTTAGGGCCGGAGTGCTTGTGGATCTAGCATGGAGGATTCGCCTGGCAAACAAGGTTCTTCAGCAAGCAGGGGCTAACCCCACACCTCACATCCTATACCCCCCCCCTATGCTTTGACCCCAATTCTCTAACCACCTAATAAACCGACCTTCCTGATACAACCCAAACCAAAAGCACTACCTACATCCACCACCTTACCACAATCCTGACCCACAA